GTCCAATATTTCTCTACAGTATATGCTGTTTGATACTGTATGGTTTCCTCTTTTTAGATTTGCGTTTTGAACACATGTCAGGTCAAAATCTCAATTTGTCCAATACCCTGCTTTAGAAGTAAAGCAAACATGCTTGCTGATGATAAACATCAAGCCAGTGTAACATCAGCATTGTCACTATGTGAGTTTTGCTCAGTGCCGTAAGCCTGGCATCAGTACATTAGAGGGGAAAAAAGAGGAAACTGTGAAGGTAAAATAATAAATAAAAATTCTGGAATTTTACAGTCGAGCACACAAGAGCCAGTAAAAATAGTACCAGGTACTTAACATTACTAGATGTGTGGAAAGTGATCAATTTGTAATGACTGGTGTTTAAGAGAAATAACAGTCACCTGTTATAGTGAATGGCTTTTAATGTATTATCTATGAGGACAGTCAATACAGCCAACAGCTCAAAGTTAAACTTTTAAAGTTCAGGTCTGTTCATTGCCTTTAAGATACCAATAAAGAAATACTCTGTCTGCCTGTTACTATGGGAATGAAAGTAGGTTGATAATAAAGCATCACCAAAACATTTTAAATGCGTTATTATTAATTTATTGAGGAGGAGCTTACAAAGGAGAAACAAAGGGAAACTCTATTAGCCTGAGACAAAAGCAAATGATTTAGGAGCGCTTAGGTTAAGCTGAATTATTAATGTCAGTGCAGAGAGAGTGAGCTGTGAGGACAAAAGAAATGTCTGAAAATGAAAAGTCCAGCAAAATATTCACAGACAAAAAGGGAGAAAGGTGCCACTAATTCTGGAAACAGCAATATCCGCTTAGACACAAAATATAGGCAGCAAAAAAATAGAAGTCCAGAGACAAACATATGGCCAATCAGCACTGACACACATAACAACAAACACACACAGCACTCAGTGTTTACCTCCAGGATGTATTCCTGGTGGATAAGGCCGGCTGGAAGCTGGACGACTCTCTCCCTCTTCCCTTCCTTCTCCTGTGATGCCTATACCTCCTCCTCCCTTCATCCTTTCTGACAAACTTCCACTCTTCTCCATGTCCTGGTGAGCAAAGAGCAGCAGGAGACTCAGCAGAAGGAAAGGGATGCTTATAGTTGAGAAACTGGAGTTTAAGGGGCATGAAGTGGAAAAAGAAAAGGTGTCAGAAGCAGGGAGGGAAGGAGAGGGACTAAGACAACAAGCAAGAGGGAGTGAACTGGATTGGTTGATTTAGACCCTCTCTGAGCCAGAGCTGCAGGAACAGTATACTCTCCAGGAAGTACCGTACACGCAGGAGGAGAGGCTCCAGCATAAAGACACTAAATGGACTACAACAAAATTCACCACTACATGACAGACCTCATTCTCCTGAGCTGACTGAAATTCTCAGCTACTTTGTTTCCGGTATCAGATGATTTTAAAGCTAAAACCGCTCAAGAAAATCTAAACAGGTCTATCAAGATTTCTGCCAAACACAGATATTATGTTTTTATTTTAACTATTGCCATTGATATATACACTACTCAAAGCCCTAAAACATTCCTGATGCAACCTTTCCTGTGCAACCCGAGTGATGAGGACGCTGAACTCGTTTTGTTTCCACTAATAAACAAAAGATGAAGCTATGAGCGGAATCTTTTCCCCACACGGTGACTCGTTTATGCTGACTGCTGCTGCGGTCATATACGGTAGGTCACTCGGTAACCTAATCAGCCGTCCCGTGTGCTCCATTCATACCCAAACACAAGCCGAGGATCACATGCTCAATTCCTCCATCAGCACTCTTCTGTTCACACTCAGAGGACAGATCAATGACACAGAGCTACAACTATCCACCTTTTATTACTTTTCTTTTAGGTCGGCAATTAACTGATTGGTCTTATAATATAATTAATATAACTGAACAAAGAAGTAATAAGCTTTGAGTTGCAGTGGCAGGAAAGCACTTGCAGCTCTACATAGACACATTTATAGTGAAAAGTCTTTGTCAAAATGAAAGCAGTGGTAATGCAGTAATATGGTCATCTGTCGAGTATTTCACCTGGTAGATGACTTAAAAGATTATACCAAGCAATCATTTATTACTATTTTGCCTGTTAGTTTCATAGCACTACAGCAATTTTAAAAACAAAGAGGAAATAGTTGGTTGACATGTGTAGTTTATGAGAAATCAGGACGAGCACTCACCGTGCTGCTGTCCGACAGCACAGGGTCAAACAGGCTGTCCAGGTAGCGGTCCATCCCTCTCTGAGGCTGACCCTCGCTCAATGTTTCTGACTCTGAACACAGACAAACAGCAATAATGCATTAAACATTGTATTTTCAGTGTTTTTAGTGCACAGAAACTGTCATGTTTGATATTTTTTTCTTTTAATCAAGCATGTTTTATCAGGTGATCAGGTTTACTTTAACTGTAGAGAAAAGGTTGTTAGTCACCGATCAAAATGTCTTATTCTCAAAAATGTAACCTAAGTCAGTTCATTGTTTTTTCACGGTTTTGATTGTCACATTTGTTGCAGAAACCTTGATTAATTGATCCAGCTCTACGTCTCTCTCTCTCTTCGGACAACACACAGGAAACTGTTTCAAGATCACAAGACTTTCAAACTTTCCCAACTCTTCCATTTTTGTTGCCAAAGTGCAGCTCTGTGACAGGCAGGACATGGACCCACACCCAGGGCTCGTGAAACAGCGTGTAAACTCAAACAGCAGCTGTAGTGCTGAATGCTTTCAAATAATACAAAGACACAAAACAAAAGCACAGCTGAAGCAAAGGGCCCAAAAACGTAGGGGAAACACTGAACAAAGGAAACACACAACCTGGATGATGCGACAAGGAACAGATGGAGACTCACACAATACAAACACACCAGATAATGTGGGAAACGAAGACAATAACCTAATGAAAACACAAACACAAGACACAGAAAAACAAGTGCTTGCAAAATGAACCAGGAAGTAACTAATTAGAGTTAGAAACATACAACACAGTGGTGAGGACTAGGTGAGCATACATCATAACCAAAACTCTAATAAACAAAACTACTTAAATACAGAAACTTGTACAAACAATTATTCAACTGCATTAATGTAAGAGACATTCCGGCCATGTGATTAAAATTATTCAAATTAAAGCTTTAATACAACTTAATAAGCTTAATGGCTGCACTAAGGATTAATCTTCTCCAAAAAAGGTTATCATCAACAAATACATTACTTTGTTGGGCACCTTTTAACTCTTAAAATCTACAATAAGACATTCCAGTAATTTCCTAATAAGAAGCCAAAAGCATCCAGCTCAGTTATGAATCCACTGCTTTCTTTAAGTCCCATCAAAGAACATCAGAGGGATTGGCTGTCATGATGGTCAAATAGTGCCTGCTCTTCCTACACCATACACGTAGCCCATCCAGAGGTCAATACAGGTCCACTTTAGTCTCATCAGTCCATAAACAGACTCACAGCACCCTGCAGGCCTATCCATGTGTTTTCTTGCATATCAAAAATGCAGTGGCAAATATGCAAGGATCAAGCTTGCTTCATTAGTGTTCCTCTTATAGTCTGTGTACTCAAACTAGCACAAGTTTTAAATTTGCATATAATCCTGCTAACTGTATCTCTTGGAACCCAGAATGAGTTGGAAACCTGAAACCTCTGATTTCACGACTCAAAAAAGCTATTTTCTGAGTGCCATCCTTGGTACTCAGCTTTAAACATCTGGACAGGTGGGATTCATCTATAACACAGCTGAAGCATTTGTTAAACACAAAGAGCATAAAAGTTTTGGGTTCAGCAGTTTGGGAGTGATAGTAGTAGTAGTAGTAGTAAGTAGTAAGTAGTTAAAAACAACAGCCGATGGGGGCTTCAATTCACAGAAAGATTAGTTTGTACATTTGATCAGATCATTTGAAAATCTTTAATTTGTAAGTGCTTAAAAATTCAGTTATGCAGTTAAGAGTTAACTGTGTGTGTGTACCGTGGCTGTAGTAACCATCTGAATCAGGCAGGCTGTAAGCTGGTCTGCTGCTGCTGAGAGGAAGGGAGGAAGGAAGCTCCTCATCTGAGTCAAAGCCACTGCCAAACAAAGCACTGAGAGATGAGAGGAGAGAGGAGTAATGTGCCACGTGGTGTAGCTTTAGTCACGTGAGTAATGAACTGCATGTGTGCATCTTGCATACTAACAGGCTGGCATTAGCTCTGACTTTAGCTGGGTTGTCAGTGCTGATGATGAAGTAACTCTTCTGCTTTGGGAAGTCCATAGGAAGCTCCATATCTGCAATCAGGTCCATGACATAGTCATGACCAGCTAACTCCACCCACTGACCCTGCTCCTTCATCAGAATTGAACTCCCCCTCCACCAGTCAGACACTCCCCTGCAAGATGCATGATTCAGATGTTCACAATATCTATACACACGTGTTAAAACTGCTCTCTAAACATTATCATGGCATGTTCAGATGTTTACATTAAATGTTATGGAGCTAAAAATACAAAACCAAACCTGTGACGCAGAATGTTTCCTGCTAAATCCTCTCCATTGGTCCAGGAATGGACAGGACACAGGAAGGACCCTCCTGCAGGGAGAGATAAACGAATAAAAATGCAACAAATAGTTCCTTTGCTGCTTTAAATTACACTCATTAACTAACAAACTGTGTTAATTGCGCAATACAAAGCACATGAGCCCCACAGTCACATCACCTGATCCTGAATGACAATGAATAATCAATGATCTGGGGATGTAATGGATCCTACACAATAAAAGCAATGCCAGGTCGTCCCTCTTTCTTTTCTCTGAGGTGTGTGCCAGTTTAGACCCCGGGTGTGAAAGACTTCCTAAATATTTGAACAGCTCCTGGTTTTTTTCTGTGCACCTCAAAAGAAAGATACTGATTGTAAAGGAAAATGTTGTGAATTTTTTATTTACTTTGCTTGAATCGTTTGGAGTTCTTGGAAAAGAGCAAAGAAGCAGACCGATGAAAAGTTGAACAACGCAACATTAAGCAGGTGAGATATTACCATCAAGACAGTGCACGTGCAACACCATGTTAGCCTTCTTCCTATTGGCGGTCCACTCAAGCAGCGACAGCGGATACGTCCGCGCAGTCTCGGGGGCGGAGCCTGATCCCAGCTGCATCTTCTGATTCGCTTGGATGAGTCTGTGCTGCAGCAGCACCTGCCAGCCAGCAGGAGCGTGGTCCGACACGAACCTGGAGAAGAGGTGAAATGAGGTTCAACAGTGGAGTAGAAGTCTCTTACTTACAGCATATAGCTTCTTAACATGTGTTTTTTTTTACCTCTCAAACTATTTGCTAAATAATTAGTTGTGAGGTCATTTTATGATTTCTCACTTGAGCAGATATTTGTCCATCTTGGCCGATGGGGCGAAGCAGCAGACACATGCCAGCAGCAGCAGCCAGCCTCTCTCTGCATTCTCAGAGTTTATGTTCCTCCACACCTGGTTGACAACCTGAGCCAGGATCTCATCTCGTAACCCTGGCGACGACAAGCCTCTCTGGACGATGTAATTCCCAAACATGTTTTCCTGCGCCCCATTCAGATGAGGGTCCCCCATAAACCGTAATACCTGAAGAAAACAGAATCCAGGTGAAAGCTGTAACAACTAACTCTGTCGGTTTTACAGCTTTATGGCAGCCTGGTGACGTATTTGTGTGTGCTTTTGTAGGTTTGTCCTACAAACACGAGAAAATAGAAGAGACTTTTTTATTCTGCTGTTAAATCTTTTACAATGTAAAAAACATGTTCCAAATTTCTTATTTGCTTCCCAGTTAGTAGCAGAACCTCATAATTAGAGGATGGTTTGCTTCTGTGTAACGAGAGTAACATAACGACATGATGCAAGTCTCTGTGAAACTGTTATCATTTTAAATTACTGCAGTGCTCAAGAATATTCAGGGTAAATGGGAAACTTAAACTGATGTTTTATGATGCTTTCATTACAACCTGTTATGGCATAGTTGTGACGTCGTAGGGCGTTGCATTAAAAAAGTGTATGACACTTGATATGATTTCTTGAAGTTTGTGTTCAAGGTTAAATTTGACCTTCGGCACTAACAATGAAGATTAAGGTCAAATACTTAGCTAACTTATGTACTCATTTCCCCAAGACCTGCTATACTGTTGAGAGGTTTGAAGACGATTCATAAAAACTGGGTAATAGGAAGGTTTTTACTGATTTTCACATTTGACCTTGACCTTGGGGCGATTTCCACCCAACTGAAATCAGCTCGAGCTCTTCGATGTTTCAAAACTGTGCACGACGGACAGACAAACAACCAAAAAGAACAGTTTACATAGTCTCTGCCTTTTAAGGGGAGAACAAAGATCACTCTACCATGTTGAAAAGCTCCAGAGCCTCCCCTCTCAGGTCGTCCTCCACACGGGTCAGAGATGACTCCAGAGGAGCCATCAACATCCCAAACTTTGGCTCCTACAGCAACAAAAGATTTGCTGTGTTTAATAAACAGCTTTTCAAACAAATCTACCTAAAACCTTTCAAAATGATGCTATAACCGATAAATCTAAACACAAACTTCAACAGCTGTCCTCAAATCTGAGTATCCACGCACATACACAGTATGTTACACAGCATATGGCGACATGCTGATGCACGTGCATCTCACCCTGAAGTAAATCTGAACATAGCGGAAGAAAGGGTAGTTGTTGATGTCCAGAGGCAACGTGAGTTCAGCATCATCCTGGATATGAGGAGCCTGAAGCAGAGCCAAGCAGTCTGAGTGCAACTCCCTCCGGACTGAAGGGAGTAACAGACAAGGTTAAACGAGGAGTCAGCCAGGAGTAATGCAAGAGCACCAAAAACTTACATGTATAAAATCCTAAAACTTTTTTACATTCCTTGACAATTTTTCAGTGTCTGGTTTATTTATTAGATGATGGGCCTCCTGCTCCACCCTGTCAGAACTGTTCGTATCATTTCTTAATTTGATACTGTCAGTGCTGATGACATAAGACACATTCAAACAGCTGACTGGAGCACTCACACACACATGAATAATCTATGTGCATGTGATGCACACTGACGGGAAAGACGGACAGACGTCTACACACCTCCTGCTGTCTGCAGCAAAGCGCCCAGCTCTGCAGGGATCACCAAGTGGGTCACATTAACCACCTCCCTTTTGGTCAGCTCCTGAAAGAAACACCACTTTTAATCTATCTGCAAACTAACAATGAGGTTAGAAGAGCTCTAACATAGGCTGCTGGTTTGAACTCATGCCAGTGTGCAAAAACAAAAACACGGATGCTTTTCTCATTGAAGTCTTGTCTTAGCTAGTCCTTCATCTTACCATCTCTCTCCTCCTCCTCTCCTCTTCTGCTTTCCTCCTGGCTTCAAACTTCATCTTCAATGAGATCCCAAAAACACACGGTCAGTGTTTTAATGTAAATCCAGAGCAGAAAGACTCAAAAGCACAAAGCAGGATTAAGGGTGAGTCATATTTGAAATTATTTTCTTAGAAATGAAGAAAATATAAAGATGTTTGGAAGGACACTGCATCAAATACACGTGTTACTTAAAAAAAAAATCACAGGCAGAAGGTATAAACATCAGTCCAACAAACCATAGTATCTCAGTGTACCTTAATGTACTGCTTCCGGTTGACATACATGTGGACCAGAGAGCGGAAACGGACCAGACTTTCCCTCATTTTCACATAGCGTTTCCTAGAAGATGAAGAGAATCTCAGTACAATGAATCCTAACGCACTGACTGTTGATCTCGTTTCCTAACATTTGCCACATTCACAGAGGTAAACTTCACAAGCATGCCACAAGCTCAAGCACAACAGTTCACTGAAAGCTTTATTTCTTAATTATAGTGATTTTAATGTAAAGACACAATTTACATTTTCTTTACCTCACTGCCCTTTTAACCTAAACTATGTGGTTGAGCACATACTGGAATTCAGAATCATTACATTGAAAGAATGCAGGACTCCAATCAGAATCTGAATTTGCGTTTTGTTTTGTAATAAAATCTGCTGAAAATGTAAGATCTCTGTGGGACACCTCACCTAACGAGGAAGCCTAGGCAGTGTGCCTGAAACCTGCTGATTTTGTTGCGGAATTCAACGTAGCGTTTCCTGACGAAGAACATGCGAGTGTAACGCTGCAGGGTGAGGGCGGCAAGATGACGAGAGCGCTCTCGCTTACACTCCAGCAGCTGGTAGATGTCCTCCTTTAGGAACAACTGCCATTCATACACGCACATATAAGTGCAATTATTCAAATACACGTGTGAGTTCATTCAAAAAAAAAAAAAAGATATAACATTGATCCAACAAACCATAGTATCTCAAATTTCAAGCTACAAAGCAGGAAAACAATCTCTACTCAGCCATTAGACAAGCAGTTGGTGCTGGGTCTGTCTTTAACTGTGAGGCTTAATGTGAACAAGCTCACCTTTGTGACTCCAACATGGTAGGCTCCTGGTCGGAGAGGACACAGTTTACCGAGCAACAACACACAGTTCTCTCCATTTGCCACAGGAAGTGTCTGTATCCCCGCCAGGGACTTGTACCTGACAGAGACACACATTCAAATTAGGGGTGCTCGGTCGATAATAGTGATTTTTAAAAAAGAAGTACTGATATAAATCGATACTGACTGTGTCACAATTCAGCTGTTAAACTGTTGTTTAACAGTTGCATTGTTTAGGAGCCAAAGTAGCTCAGACCATGCGAAGTTACAGAGCAGGGTCGCCAACTTACACCAAAGCTCTTGGAGTACTGGCAGCTTCACTTCATGGCTCTCCATAGCTGAAGGCCATGCTTTAAGCATTAGATCACCAGACACAATGCCAAGTGCTAGGCGGAGTAAATCATGCCACCACTGAACTCTGGAGCAGTGGAAAATTGTTCTGTGGCATAACAAAACACATTCCTCTATCAGGCATTCTGATGGATGAGTCTGGGTTTGAACACCAAACTGCATTGTGCCAACTGTAAAATTTGGTGGAGGAAGGAAAACGCATTATGGACGCATTAACAGACACATTATGAATGGCTGTGGATTTATAATGGGATGTAATAAAGGCTCCTGTAGGTATAACGTGTACGTGTCCTCATAGTCAATGTAATGTATATTGTGTGAAATGTGTAATTATTCTTTTTGTGTGCTTTTGTGGTTACAGAATCTTCCATAGTTCATTTTTTTGCCAAATAAGACAACACCATAAACAAAGTTACACATGAATTCAAATTTTAAACTTTGGTGGCATGGCTTTGTACTGGGAGGGCAGCAGCAAGACCCCACCAAAGAGCAGCGCAATGACAGCAGCTATGACACTGATTAAGTCAGACAAAGCATGAGAAGAAGAAAATTAGTTAAAGTTGGGTTGCAAAGTGACTTGCAGAGGCACGTGCAACTGTGGACCAGTTGAAGTAGCTTAAATAAGGCATGACATATGATATTTGCAAATCAGAAGAGCATCAGCTATGAGTTGCCACTTCGCGGTCTGCTCAGTTATTGCTGGGATTTTCTGTTATAGAAGGTTCTCCTCTGCCTCAGCTGTGAGATCAATTATCTTCATTTTTTTTGGGAACACAAAGTCCTGAACAGCTTCACAAACTCAACAAATACGCTGAGGATCAGAGTTCATGTTACCTGAACAGGAAGACATAGAATGGCATTCTGATTGGATATCCCTCTTTGCGGATCCTAATGGTCTCCATGACACCAGAGTGCCGCAGCTGGCTGTTCACCAGCTCGTCCTCAAACACACCTGGTTGCTAAAGACAGGTGTCCAAAAGCTCAGAAACACTGATGTATGTGCAGGTAAATAACTTTAAATATATGACGCTTCAAGATCTACCTTCATGTTATTTGGCTTAATGCAGCGAACGAAATAAGGATTGCACCTGAAATGGAACAACAAAAACATGATTTTTTTTTTTTATGAAAACAATAAAAACCAATTATGATCTGAGAGAGAACATGTGTACTTCACCTCTCCATCTTCTCCACCAGCTCCAGCAGGGACTGTTGAAACTTGCTGCTGACGGTGGGAGCTTGGTATTTTCTGGTGACTGTGCTGCTCTTCCTTATGTGACCTCTCTGCTGACCCATGGCCTCTGCATGAACCAGGAAGAGGTTTGATACCATCTGGAAACACACAAATGCACAGATTAATACAGACTTTACAAAAACATTGCTTAGCGATTGTGTCGATTAGATTAAGTTTTAAGACCAAGCCGACCTTGTTCTTGCTCTGAATGAACAGGTCCAGGACATCCTGACGCACCTGATCGTAGTTCTTATCCAGGAATTTGTAAACCTGCATCAGTGACAGATGATCACTCTGTTTGTCATTACAGTTCACCACATTTTCAATACTTCAATGAATTATAATACAATGAAACTAGCCAAGAGAATCTCAGTGAGGAGCTTAGTACCTGGTAAGTGACCCGCCCGGCAAAATGCTTAATTGTGAACTCTGGGACCGGCATCTTTGGCTTCATGTACAGTGGATTACTGCCATGGTGATAGTGACACTTTTGAAGAAAAGTGTTGTCTGTTGCCTGTCAACAAATTACCACACCAAAAGTCCCAGTTTTATAATCCATATAAGGAATCTGGAAGTCTGTCAGTACTTCCTCCTCATCCTCACCTGCGGGAAACCGCTCTGGTCATCCAGAATCCTCAGTATCCCATGAGGCTTAGCGGCAATGAGGTCGATGCAGGGCTGGTTGTCGTTGAATGTGATGTCCTGCCATGGGATCTGCTCCCTGCTGTACTCCTCCTGCAAGAGGATCACATAAAAGATCATAAAATATTAGTTGCATTATTACCTAAGCCAGATGTTGGCAACCTGCAGCTCACGAGGTACAGGTTAGGGTTACCTATTAATACATATACTATATGCAATACATTCATTTATCCTCCCCCCAGTTACATCTGTCATCCACCCATCTATTCCTCATCCCCCAAGTGCTGCTCTTTTACTCCTGCTGTTTGGTAGGAGGAGGTAAAATGGCTGTTTTGATGTTGAAAGTTGCCAACGCCTGAAATAAGCAAAGGATTCACATGTTTATATGCCACTAACCTACACTTAATGAGAACCATTTGCATGCATATGATGCCTCAAATATGTGCATTTTTTGTCCTCAATCGTTATAGGACAAGTGCATGAGTGTGTGCTTTTCATCGGGAAGTGTGACGTGGACTCACCTGTTCCTCTCTGAATACGATCCTGTTAAAGAAGAATTGCAGGTACTCGTTTGCATAATTAATGCAAAGCTGCTCGAAGCTGTTGAGGACCAGATCCTGTTGTCACACACACACACACACACACACACAC